CAGAATTCAAAAAGGATGTGGAGAAGCTTGAGAGAGTCCAGGGAAGAGCCACGCGCATGATCAGAGGTCAGGAAAGCAGACCTTACGATGACAGGCTGAGAGCCATGGGGCTCTTTAGCCTGGAAAAGCGTAGGCTCAAGGGTGATCTGATGGCCACCTATAAGTTTATCAGGGGTGACCACCAGGATCTGGGGGGAACATTTGTTCACCAGAGCACCCCAAGGGATGACGAGGTTGAACAGTCATAAACTACTACAAGACCATTTCAGGCTGGACATAAGGAAGAATTTCTTTACTGTCCGAGCCCCCAAGGTCTGGAACAGTCTGCCATCAGAGGTGGTTCAAGAACCTACATTGAACACCTTCAAGAGCAAATGGGATGCTTATCTTGCTGGGATCCTATGACCCCAGCTGACTTCCTGCCCTTTGGGTGGGGGGATGGACTCAATGATCTTCCGAGGTCCCTTCCAGCCCTAATGTCTATGAAATCCTGGAAGCTGCCAGTAACCTGGTGGAGAATGATTTGTTAGCTTGTGTCTTCTAGTCAGTGATGGCTTCTGGTCAGTGATTCAGCTAAAGATGAAGGAAACTATTACACTAGGAATAAGGTTTCACTTATTTTTTTTAAATTCTGTATATGAAGATGATATGGCCAGCTTAGAAAAAATAGAATTAAGTACCAGGGTGCTACACAAAGTTGCTAAAGGACAGCGCCAACATAAAGGGGCAGATTGTGTTCTTCACCTCCCCTCTCTTCCACCCACCTTTTGCTAATAAACTTTTGAGTTGATTCAGCTACAAAAAAAACAAGCAAACAAATGTATGCAACTTTCCAGAGAGATTAGAACTTAATGAAGCAGCACATTCTTCTAAGTAAGCAGCTGCCTGAAAGGATTTTGCGTGGTCAACATGCTGGTACAGAAAAGCGGTCTGTTTAGGCCTTGTTCTGAACAGCTTGCTGTCTCAGTGGAAGTCTTGGCTCAGGAAGAAGTACAAGGTCAGGCCTCTACCTTGGGTACCATATTAGCCCTGACCCTACAGGCTAGGGACAGACATTACATGTAAAATGGTTTACATGATGAGAAACTGGTTTAAACCTGTAACAGAACAGATGTTCAGTGCATATAAACCAGTTTGAAAAATGACTTAAACCAGTTTGATATAAACCTGGTTGAATGTAATAATATCAGACTTAAACTGGTTTGACCCAAATCAGTTATGCAACATCTGTCCCATACCCCTTCCTGGTTTAAGTTAAATCAGAATCCTCCAGTATCTCAGTCACTTTGCAACTCTGGGTCGGTCTTTGCTCTCTGATCCAGCCCAGTAGAGCTGGCCCCTCCCCTCTGCTCCCTGGATGCAGATCCAATGGAGATTGCAGGTACAGGGCATCTACCTGGCTTCCTCCTGCTTTCCCCCCACCCCACCCTACTGAAGCAGGGATTCCCCCCTCCCCTCTGCCTTACACAGACACCTCTCAGCATTAGCTAGCAGACCACATGCTGGCTATGGTCCATGCTGTGGGAGACAAGGCAGACAGGACAGTGCCACTTAGGGCTCTTTGGAACTAATCAACAAGTAGCTGGTAATGTCCCTCTGTTCCTTCTTTGGAACAAGTTGTTTAAGAAGAGCTTGACTGAAGGGGTGATGCATGCTCCCTGCTGTGCATCTAAATCCCTGATGGTTCCCTCACTGACCAGCAAGGGGGGTGGGGGTCCCCTCCCTAATCAGAGCATCCTGCCAGGGCCTTGATACACCCCCCTCAGCTCAGCACTGTTGAAGAGAAGGGAGGCCTACTCTAGCACCCCCCAGCTTCTAGCCTGAGCCACGGCAGGCATGTGCCTGCATTTTTTTCAGTCCAGAGGGGATGTCTGAGTGGTTACAACCTGATTCAGCCTAGCCAGGTTAGACTAACATGCAAAGATTGAATCAATTCAGGCTCAGACATTTTACATGTCTTTCCCTAGCCACAGTCTCTCTGCATGTGAACTGCCCACTGAATTCCATGAAGGTTCAATGTAGCATCAGGGCCATTATTCAAGTACCAGAATCAAGTAGTCTACAGTGGTCTCTATCTTCCAGTATTAATCTAGGATCTCTTTGAGTAGAAAAGTATGAAAAATTCAAAGAGAAATGTAATGAGACTTCATGCACATTTTCCCCTTTCAAGAACATACTTTGTGTAAATGTTCTTAAACATTATGCTACATGGCCCATGCTACCATATCTAATGTAGTCCAACTCTACTGAGTAAAGTAAAATGAATGTGCAGAATCTAGATATAGTAACTGGATCTTCTAAACTCATAATTCCTCTTTATTTCTATCTTTAACATAGTTACTCCATATGTCATTCTGGTTTTTGACTTTTAAAAACTGTCATCTTAAAAGTTAGTAAGTTTGTGGCATTACTGCAAAAGATTCCTTCATAAGAAAAAATACATATCTGTATTACATGCAAAGAAACCACATACAGACAAAAGTTGGTCTCTAAGTGATAAAGCCCTTCAGACAGTGCTTTTATGACAGTTTTTTTTATACTGAGGAATTCTGTTTTAGGTACGTAAGATACTTACAGTGCAGCTTTCAAATGACTCTTGCACAGCAAGAACATACAACTGTGCCACATGAGACTATATGAAGCAAGCTTTTGTTGTTGTATTATGTAGTGTTACCGGTGTTATCCAGAAACACTGTAAAGACAACAAATATAGGGCTTGCTAATGTGGCCACTAGAAAAGAAGTAAACAGAGTGCAAAATAACTTTTCAACTGCCTGGAAGATAGCTGGACTCTTTGCCCTCCCCCCCCCCC